TTTTATTTTATGCTTTGAAATCTATTATGCAGTGTATCTTCTTTGGCTTGGTTCATGTCAAATCAAGAAACAAGCTTTGTCACTATTGGTCAAAGAGTTCTTGCAAGGCCATTGAAGTATGTATTGATCTCTTAAAGTTTACTTTTCTCTTCATATAACTATCAAGGGAATTATGTCATAAGAAAAAGCACGATCAATTTTTTAAACCATATCGTTGAGTGAATACTTTATGACAAACAGATGGCTGTCCATTTTCATTTATGAGAGGTAATACCATGTCCAAAATTGCTTTCAGAATGTTTAATGCTGTTTATCCTCATGTTAAAAATTAGGTGTATCATGTTTCATTGCACTGCTGACATTTCAAATTCCCCCAGCCAGCAACCTATCCCAACCTTCTTCCCTTTCTCTGTAGTGTTACTTTCTTCATTGGACAGCAAACCCCAGGACAACCAATATCAGCCATATTGAGTTTCTTACTCATTGAATTCAAGTGCTTTCCATGTGGGTTCCTGTGCATGATAATGATATACTCAAAATGTATTTTGGTGGGTTTAGGGTTCGTTTCCATTATGGTCATCCAGATGTGTTCGATAGAATCTTCCACATAACCCGTGGAGGCATCAGCAAGGGTTCTCGTGGCATCAATTTGAGCGAGGACATCTTTGCTGGTAATGATCTTAAACCATCTACTCAAGTGAATTTATATTTTTTTTTCATGATATTTATTATACTTTAACAGGTTTTAACTCAACCCTAAGACGAGGGAACATTACTCATCATGAGTATATTCAAGTTGGGAAAGGTAGGGATGTTGGGTTCAACCAAATCTCACTGTTTGAAGCAAAAGTGGCTTGTGGTAATGGGGAACAGACACTCAGCAGGGACATCTACAGATTAGGCCATCGCTTTGACTTTTTCCGCATGTTGTCTTGCTATTTTACAACAGTTGGATTTTATGTCAGCTCAATGGTAATTCTTTTTCCTTGCAAAATTCAACCCTTAATAGAACTACTGTGCACAAACTAAAGAAAAATCTAACCTGGGGATTTCCCCAATATGTTGCTATGGCTCTTCATTTTCTTTGAGGTATAATGTCCAACACTTACCCAACAGACATTGGTATGGAGGTCTGACCCTCCAAATATAAGGACAAAAATTAAAAAAATTGAAGAAACCCATGTCATAACCCCTGTTCCTGCAAAAATCCAGAGGTTTGTCCCTTAAATCCACACCAAAAAGGAAAAAAAAAATCTATAGGAAATTCATTGTTACGGGTGCCCTCTCTTCTGAGTTACTAAATCTGACTGTAAACTTGACCAAGCACTAGTCATTGGAATTATGACGGGAGGAAGAAAATACTCTATTTTGTTTGTATGAGAATGAATTCAATGGGGAAAAGGTTAAAAAACTATTATATATGTCAAAATTGCATAATAGGAACCTATTAATCAAATTATGCATTCACTGCTTAACATTTGCTGGAACATGAGCACCACATCAGACAACTGTTACATATCTCTATTGATTCTTTGTATTATATGTAAGGTTCTCTGTTCATTAAGAGTTCCTTTTTTTTTTTTTTCTTTCCTGTCAAGTATATAGGAACTGAAAATATTCTTTAGTTCTGTTGCTCTTTTTTCTTATATATCTGACCTGCTTGTACTTTCGGCCATTTTTATGTTTTTTGCCAAAATATTTTTAGAACATTATTTTTTTTCAAAATTTCAAGGTCATACTTGGAAGATCTTGAACATAAAGGCAGAGTAGATTGTCTACTTATTTGAATCACAACTCTATTAAGTGCCAGTCCACCATGAAAACATCAAATCTTTGGAGTATCCCAGCAATGAGTACTTCAGATTAATTAGAAAGTTTAGTAATTAGTAGTTTTGTTTCTTTTGACTCTCTAATCTTATCTTTATAAAGCTAATGTGAACCCCTTCCTGTTATTATGCAGTTGGTTGTCTTTACAGTCTACCTTTTCTTGTATGGAAGACTCTATTTGTCATTAAGTGGTTTGGAGCAGTCAATAGTTAAGTTTGCTTCATCTAAGGGAGATGATCCTCTAAAGGCTGCCATGGCTTCACAGTCTGTTGTTCAGTTAGGCCTTTTGACAGCTTTGCCCATGGTCATGGAGATTGGACTGGAGAGAGGATTTAGAACTGCATTAGGTGACTTCATAATCATGCAGCTTCAGTTGGCATCTGTGTTCTTCACTTTCTCCCTTGGAACAAGGGTCCATTATTTTGGCCGCACTATCCTGCATGGTGGGGCAAAATACAGAGCAACAGGGCGTGGTTTTGTTGTCCGGCATGAGAAATTTGCAGAGAACTATCGCATGTACTCAAGGAGCCACTTTGTAAAGGGGCTGGAGCTATTGGTATTGCTTATATGTTACAGGCTTTATGGTTCTGCAGCAAGAGATTCTCTATCTTATGTACTCCTCTCATTTTCAATGTGGTTTTTAGTTTTATCTTGGCTGTTTGCTCCTTTTCTTTTGAATCCATCGGGATTTGAATGGCAAAAGATAGTAGAAGATTGGGAAGATTGGGCAAAGTGGATTAGCAGCAGAGGTGGTATTGGCGTTCCATCAATTAAGAGCTGGGAATCTTGGTGGGATGAGGAACAGGAGCACCTGCAGCACACTGGGTTTATGGGACGTTTGGTGGAGATTGTTCTTGCTTTACGCTTCTTCATTTACCAGTATGGAATTGTGTATCAGCTAAACATGACCAAGAAGAGCAGAGAAGGAATACGGCAGAGCATCATGGTGAGTATTAGTATATGAGCTGCTTTATCAGTCTCTTAACATCTTCTGCTTTCAATACTGTTTAACTTTTCATCTCTACGATTATAGGAAGACAGTAATCTGAAATTTTAAGGTTAAAAGCCCTTTTTAAATTTTGGCCTTTACTACACTCTCCTTGATTAATTTAACATACGATCTTTTAGGAGAGAGAAAAAAAAAGGATTTAAGATTTCACATCCTAGTGCTTCCCTGAGGATGCAAACTGGTATATGCTAAAGGATGAATGCCATGGCAGCACAGATGGTCTATTTTTGTGTTATTTTGTAAAGAAGACATCTTTTCGACAAGTTGAATTCTGCAACCTTGCTACATACTGAAAGATCTTGAGCTTGGGGTTGTTAATTTGCAATACCAAGATTGTTCATGTTGCTATTATGCTTTCAGGTTTATGGTCTTTCCTGGCTGGTCATTGTTGCGGTGATGATTGTTTTAAAGGTAAGGCTCAAACTCCATGTAATCATTCAAAATGAGAATGGTCTGATTCCTGTTATTGGCTCTAAACACTGATGCACTTTTAATCTGCAGATTGTGTCCATGGGTAGAAAGAAGTTCAGTGCAGATTTCCAGCTGATGTTCAGACTTCTTAAGCTATTCCTGTTTGCCGGGTGTGTTGTCATTATTGCAATGCTGTTTTATTTCCTTGATCTCACACTTGGAGATATCTTTCAGAGCCTACTAGCCTTTATGCCGACAGGGTGGGCTCTACTGCAGGTACATGGCTTTTTTTTAGAGGCACTTTTGTCTTTGTAGAAAGTCCAGCTTCTTAGTTTTAACGCTGTCTACATTGCGTAATGTGCATCAGCTACAATTAAAAAAGTACGTAAGCTATACTGACTGCCCTACTTATATGTGTGTGAGCCGAATGCCAAAAGCTTCACTGATTTTGTAGTCTGCTTATGCATGCTGTCTATGTAACTACTTTGTGATGGAGTTTAACCCATTTTTCGTCCTGTGAGCCATCTTATTTTGGACCAAATTTCTGGATTTTGAAATCTCATTTTGAACTTAAAGACATGCCTCATTTGGAGAGGATTGACACTGATTTGTACATTTCTCGTCGGTTAAGCTCATTACTAACATTTTTCTCTTACTATTTATTCTGATGAGTTTCCATTGGATGTACGATAACACTGTATGTCATAGTCTCAGTGCTGCAGTGACCTTGTTTATTAAATATATATTTATTTTTGGTATTTGAGCTTGTTAGAGACTGAACTCTAGTCACTAAAACTAAGAATTCAACCATGTACCAACAAATCACTTCATTGTTGGCTTTATTACTAAGAATCGATTTTTTTTTTTTTTAATGATCAGATATCACAAGCATGCCGGCCATTGGTGAGGGGTATAGGAATGTGGAGTTCTGTCAAGGCTCTAGCAAGAGGGTATGAATACATGATGGGGGTGCTCATCTTTGCCCCAGTTGCTATATTGGCCTGGTTCCCCTTCGTCTCAGATTTCCAGACCAGGCTGCTGTTCAACCAAGCCTTCAGCCGAGGGCTTCAAATCCAACGAATTCTGGCTGGTAGCAAGAAGCAAGCCTGAAAAGCACCAATGTAGGATTGTGGTGATTTACCAAAGGAAGGATGGACGATGGGAGGACCAATACACTGCTTATGAGCGAGCGTCACAGATGCATTCTCCAAGTTTACCTTTACTCTCCATTTTAACTAATCTCTGTTAAAAGGCTATGGCCTAGGAGTCCTTTCCTTGAGAGATTCCAACTGCAAATTTAAGCATGCAGCAATATGTTAGGTTTAATGAGAAAATTCTTGGCGGAAGACCTAATAACATTCATTCCCATGGGGGCATCAACTCTTGACCATGCCTCCCTGTTGCTTTTACCTGCTTGCCACGCAAACGCAACTCCTCATTCTCCGTTGACAATAACTCATTTCACTCTGTTGCAAATTTTGGCATTGTCATCATTCAACCGCTAGCTGTTAAAAAATTCATCCATCAAATATAAACAGCATTAATGCTTTTTTCTCTTTTTGGCTGCATAGTTATGGATGTTCAATTATGTATACAAAATTTAATCAGAAAGAGAACCATCATTGGAAGCTACACTTAGAAAAGTCTCAAGCCGAGTTCCCTTTTGGCACGGGCTACATAGAAAGAAGGTGCCTTATAATATTATAGTCATATACGTTACAGAAACGTACAAAAGGGAACCCTACAAGCATACTCTAGACAGCGGGGGTGGGGGGAAGGACTCAAAAGAAAATGTAAACAATTCACCATTCACCTGCCAAGGCTAAGTTAGATGTTATCCTTCTCTCTATAATCAATAGCTGGTCGATGAAATCCTCCACCATGCAATGACCACTCCAAACTCAAATCAAACCAGGAGTATACGTGGCAGAAGCACTCTGTATTACCACCACAAACCTTAGCAAATTCATAAAAGAGTAGTCCACAAAACTAATTTAGGGGGATTTCCAATCAAATTGAAAGTTGTTAAAGCCATTTACTGCTCCAAGCCCATTCAGTAATCTATTAGCTAATTCTTGTTGATGGTTCACAGTTTCTTGACGCATCATTGGCATGCTCACCCTCCCAGTGAAATTCATAGGGTTGTTCCCCATGGTAGATCTCATACCACATGGATTGGGAGAAAGACCAATGCCGCCACTCAAGTTCCCAAATCCTCCACCTGCAATGCCTGAATTGTTATCAACGAACCCATTCCCCATCAGGCAGCTGCGACTCACCTGTGGAAGCCCATTATTGTTCATTAAGTTATTCCCCATAGAACCAACACTGACCGTGTTACCTGCTTCACTGACCTGTGATGAAATCATTATTTCCTGAATGATTTTTTCAACAGAGCTCTGAGAATCATTAGGGTCAACTTCACTTGACTGAGATGACTGCTGTGGTGGAATTTGCACAGATGAATTTGCAAAATTGACATGTTTTGCAGTGGTTGAAGGAGCCAGGGCATTATGAGAACTTTGGGGAGGCAAATTTGATGAGGATGGCGTTGGAGATGAGAAGGGTGAAGAGTGATTTGGTTGAGTGGATGGCAAAGTCGTAGAGGACCCTGCAGTTGGGATCTGAACTGGGGTTCTAGCATAGGGACTGCTCCGATTGTTCATATGACTTTCAATTCTAGAATTCATGGAATTCTGTCGGAGAAGCCCAATGATGCTCGTAGCAGATATAGAAGTTGATGTTGCACCGTGGGAGTAGTTTACACTAGCAACACCATTGCTTGCAGAAGGCTGCAGAACAGTTGACTGTATTGAATGAGGATCATTGTTTGCATTTTCTCCAGTAATTTGCCGCTGTTCCTCAGGTTGCTGAGCTGAATTATGCTGCATGGAGACTGGGGAACTCCTTGGGAGCTTGGCCAGACTTTCTGAACATGAATCAAAAAAATTTACGTCTCAAGGCGAAGTGAAAACTACAACCACTTAAAAGAGGAGAAAGATCAATGACAAAGCTAATTATGACATTTCAAGGTTTCCAAAATAATTTTGATTCATTAACATATCATGCGAGAAGTTTACGAGAACCTTTATCAAGCCTAAGAAAAATAGAACAAAAAGCTAAAATATTAAAAAATCCCCTGAACTATTTCACTTTTCTTAAATAAATCTCTATACTTTTATTATACTTAAATAAACCCTTATTTTTTGATTGGTTTCTAAATAAATCTTTATGTAAAAAAAAATCATTTTATATTAAGAGTTTATTTAGGTAAAAATTAAAAGTAAAAGGCTTATTTGGATGTAAATTAAAGGTCAGAGACTTCTTTGAGTGCAAATTAAAGTCTAAGGATATAACAAAAGTATAAAGACTTGAGTAAACTGATAAAGTTCAAAGGCTTTTTTGTAATTTTAGCCAAACAAAAACAAAAGAAGCCAGTGCAATAGTGGTATTCTCAGGGCCTCATGCTCAGTCTGTTAAAAACAGGAGCAAGTAATCCTCCTAAATGGCATCCGATGCCCATTAAAACAGCCCTGATAAGCCAGTTTTATCTTTTATTAAAAGAAACCGCATTAAGTTTTATTTCCATTAATATAGCTAGTATTGATCCAGTTGTAAAATCCAGTCACGATGCCTGGTCCCTGGTGGAATATTATCTCAGATTAGCTTGGGCATATCAATAAGCCACCTAAAGTTCATCAATTTGAACTTGAAATCTGGATGGGGATCATTTGGTGCCTCCCATCAAGTAATGGTCTTTGGGATTATTGCAAGGGGATGACAACCTGAGCCAACATATTCCAGGTTTCTTGCTGTTCTACCAACTTTTTAGGGGCTTAGGCAGGCCAGGAAGATCAGAAGCAGCACAACACCAATTGATCAATAAGAATGCTTTTTAACAAATCAGTGAACATGAAAAAAGATCATAAATATTGGAAGAACAGAATTTATGAACTATACCCATGGGTCCCATCCCTGACTCTTTGCTATAATCAATCAAATCCTTCATGCTATTAACAACCTCTGATATCTGCAATTGGAAACCACCAGTCAGATCATGTAAGAAGTGACTCAAAATTCCTATTAAGCTAAGCTCTGAACTGTCACCTATCCAGCCATTAGCTATGAATTTATGCTTCATGTACGATGATATCAGAATAGAGAAAATATTAGCCACAAAAGGCACATTTGTGGATGAAAAGGAAAGTAGGATAATGAGAAAAATTATTAATCTCCTCTAATACCTCATAGAATTGAGACAGACCCAAGGTAAAGTAATAATATATTAATATTAATCACAAAAATAATTTTGCAGCTAATCATTTCCATTGATTGAAGGACCTATAAATCTCATCAAGCTTAACCCCCATTACTGTGATAAGCCTCATCTGTTTAGTAATTCATTTTTAAAGCAGCACAGTATTTACATCCCTATAACAGACAGGTATAAATAATTAATGTCACCACCAAAATACAAAAAAAAATAAAATAAAATAAAATTAGTAAGGTTTAAGTATGTATTTGGTCCCATTATAATTTAGTCCCTATATATGAAATCTTCAGATCATTCCCTGTACATTAATTTGTGAAAAAAACATCCCTATACTCTCAAATTTGGCAGACTCCAGCAAAATTACTCATACATGCTACTGCTAATATGTTCCACTAAGGGTACTGATTAGCAGTGCTAACATGTGCAGCTTCTATATTAAAAATCACATGATTTTTTTATTTTTCAAATGGCAATACCAGAATTCTGGTCAAATGACCCCAAAGGCAAATACTTATGTTAAAAGTTTAGATCAGTTCCTCTAGTTTTATTACTGAAAATTCCATCTCATGCTATAGAATTTCATACAATCAAGTAAAATTGCCAACCCCATAAATCTCAAACCACTAAGAACCGATTTGGATGCAATCGCACCCGTGGGTGAGTCCCGATTGCATCCTTAGAAGCTGCTAGAGACTCATTTAGGAGACACAGTACCGGTACAGTTGAAGAAATTAACCGTGCCAGAGCCTCTTTTCTTCATCAGTAGAAAATGGTCCAGTGGGGGAGTGGCTATCAGCATTTTTTTTTTCCTTGAAATTCCAAATATACCCCAAGTTTTACTCTTCACACACCACCCTTTTTTCAAAATTTTTTGTAAATAAAATTACTTAATTACTATTTCACACAAGTTTTTTGATAATCATATCCAATAAATTTTTTAGCTTACGAAAAATGAATTTTCAAAAAATTATATAACTTTCCAAAAATTCATTATCAAAGAGTGAGGATTGCAATTTTAATAAAAATTACAAAAAAAAAATTTATTAGACATTTTTATTATTTAGTGTAATTAAAAAATTATTATTGAAAAATCATAAATTTTAAAATAATGAAAAATAAATTGATTTTGCTATTTTAACCTTAGAGAAAAAATAAAATCTTATGAAATCGTAATTAAACATTTCATCTCTTGAAGCATTAAGAGATGATAAAGAAACTATCAGGGCTGATCATTATCTGAAAGTTTAAATTATTGAAAGCTGTACAAATAATACTATTGAATACTATAAAATTTTTTCAAAATCTAATATGCTAACTAGAGAAATCTATCGTAATAAATAGATAGAAAAACTTATCCAAAAAATTCAATTTAGTTAGAGATATTATAAAATTTTAATAATTGATACAAAAAATATATATTTATTAAAAAAATGATGAATTTTAAATTTATAAAAAATTTGATTTTTCTATTTTATCTTTATTTTAATTAAGATCTTATTAAATTTTATTTTTTATAAAGTCAAAATACTAAAATTAAATTTCTTTTTATTAATTTTAAAATCTATGTTTTTTTTTTCAATAATAACTTTTTTTATTACATTAATTAATAAAAATTTCTAATAAAATTCTTTTTTTTTGGTAATTTTCCTTAAAATTCCATTCCCTTTCTCTTCAAATATAACTTTTCGAAAATCTATTTTCAACAAGTTATAAAATTTATCGGATATGAATATTTGAACACTTATGAAAAAAAAATAATTAAGTAATTTCACCAACAAAAAATTTTGAAATAAAAAATAGTGTGAAAAGAAAAATCAGGGTGTATTTAAAAGCACCCTTTTTCCTTTCTTGCCCTTCACATTATCTTACAAAGACAACAATATCCTTATAATTTTTCTTTTAATTTTTATTTAAATGTTATAAAATACTTTATTAGTTTAATATAATAAATAAATTTTACTAATTTTTTACTATCATTTTTATTTTTAATTATTTATTAATAAAGCTATTATTTTATTTAAAAACAATTTAATAATTTTTAATTACTTATTAATTTTATAAAAATGTCAAATAATTTAAAATTTTTGTTACATATAATTTTTATTCTAATGTCTTTAATGCTCTTTTTTAATAACAATTTACCTCATTATTATCATTGCTTTTGCATCCAAACAAATATATACCACTAATTTTAATTTCACTACTACAGTAACAAATCTTATCATTACAATAACTAATCTTACTTCCATTACTATTTTTAATATCAGCAAAACCAATTTCACCAACCACCCAAATGGACCCTAAGTTTTTTCATAAGATAAAAACTAGTTAAACGGATCTAACGCAAGACAAAATGGGAAATTAAGGCTTGATTTAGTATCAAAGTCACATTTAGTCATTCAATTATTAGATCTTGTTTAACTACTTGATTTGTATGAAAAAGATAAACAAATATAAAAAGAGTAAAAATAGAATAGAAAAGGAAGTGGGAACATCCCAATATTACTAGACATAAAAGATTAATTTTATTAAAAATATATAAAGAAAAAAGAAAGAAAAATAATAAAATGTTTTGTGCATTTGTAATTTTTCACGTGTTGACGCCATACCATGCAATGCAGTTGTTTTTATCGTGGAAAAGAGTTGTTTAAGAGTAACAAAACTAGCAATTATACTCAATCACAAAACTTATTTAAATTCAAACTAAAATCATTAAAGCGAAAAGAAAATATATAAATAAATGCTATAATTTATAATGACCAAAAATAAAGTTGCAGCCTATAATACCTGAAGGCACCGTACATATCTCTTTGTATACCCCAAGTCATTGACTAAAGGAACATCCAAGGCTTTTGCAAACTGAAGAGCAGATGCAACTAACCTGAAAGAATCACTTGTGTTACTAACGAAGTAAACCAAGGTGACACGCAAAAAGTATGCATATGTGCAAGAGGTGCATTAAATAGGTTAGTCAAGTAAACACGAAATGGTCTTCATTGCAAGAACACCACTTCTACATCACCTTCAATTAGATGTCCAAGCGCACCACTTTTACATGCCATTCAGTAACATATGGGGGCATAATTTAAAACACGCTCAAACTATCATCTACACTCAATCCAACTAAGTCTTACTCCCAAGAAGTTTGGGGTAACATATATATAATCATTTTCTTTACCCCCACTTGATCTAAAGGTTATATCCTTTGAAAGATCCAAAGACATCAATCCACTCCTTTCTCATCACTTTACCAACATCATACTTACATACCTCAACTTCAGTCCTAATTGAATCAAATCACTTTACTCCATGGCAGTATGGAAGCATCCCTAAGTCTATATTGCACATGGTTAAAACATTAAGTTATACTCCTCTTAATTCACCTCATTTCATGCCACTCACACATTCTTAAGATGTTTTGTCCTCTAAATACCCTACATACCATAGAGCATAATATGGCCGTATGATTTTATCAGACTTTCCTTTCAAATTGGCAGCAATCTGCTTAGCACTTCTTCATTTCATCCACTGTCTTTTTCTTTCTATCACCAATCCTTAGTACTACCAAAAATAACTGCAATAAAGAATTTCTAATTGTCAATTCAAAACCAATCTAGCAAGCATGAATGGAAACAGCCCTCATGTCTGTGTTGGATATGGACATGCTTCAAATATGCCAACATACAAAAATTAAAAACATGTGTGAAGATCTGAGTTCACAAAGAGGAAATACAGCAAAAGAAAAGAAAAGAAGTAAGACTAGCCTGGGTGTCAAAATGGCCATCATTGCTTTTCTCATGTGATAGCTTCTCATCTATGCCTTAAATCAAATAGGAAAAAGAGAGGGAGAGGAAATGCTTGAGGGTGGCATTAGGTTTTGGAAGAGAAGGGACAAAAAAAAAAAAGCTTATATAAAACTTTTGCAAGGTTCGGCCACTCACATTTGATTCTGCTTGCTTTAAAGTTGAAAATTCAATGGTATTCAGCTGATTTACAACAATATTTGCACGGAAATAAAAAAATTACCTGAAGAACTTATTATAACAAAATTTCTCTAATGATTTAGAAGACCTTTTAGTTTAATGTCACAGTTATGAATAATTAACTCACATTTTACAGGGCCACAAGGAGAGGATAAGCCATAAACCATGAGAATGATCTAATAAGAATATAAAACTCACATGTTACAGTTACTCTGTAAGTCTGGTGCAGATAAGTTGGATGATGCATTCAGTGCTGATGCTTGGTACTTCTGCGCAGCAGCTCCAAGTTGACTTACCTGGAATCCACTTTAATCAATTAACAAAGTCTATGAAAATGAAGCTCTTTCCCAACTTTTATCAGGTAATGGACATCATCGAATCTATGAAAGAATGCTCTTTAGTTCATCAAAATCCATTTCACAACCCTTAACACCTCCAGCAGAGAAGATAAGTCAAAGCAAACACAAAAAGAGAAGGGAAAATAATCTTACTCACATCCTCCAGTTCTCTCCAAGCATACCCCCCACCCCAAAGAAAAAACACCTTTCCTTTTCAGGGCTCGAAGTGGTAAAGGGAAGACGGAGGGGGATCAGTAATCTTTTTCCTTCACCTTCTACTCCCAGTGTCCCCCATTTCTAAAATAAAAATCAGGCTTATTTATGTTCTTTTAGAGTGAAGATGAGGGTCGATCCACCTTTTGAGGCTTTTATTGGAGGGTTTTTGGGTGAGAAAGAAATATCTACATATGGGATTTATTAACTTGGAGAAAGCATACATAGAGTTCCTCGAAAGGTGCTTTGGTGGGCCTTAATGAAAAAAAGAGTCCCTTTAAAGTACATCAACATAGTTAAAAATATGTATGAAGGAGTAGTAACACATGTGAGGACTGTTGGGAGCATGACAGATAGCTTCCCTATTACCCGAGGATTACATCAAGGCTCAACACTAAATCCTTTCCTTTTTGCCCTAGTTATCGACGAGCTCACTGGACGTATCCAAGATAAAGTGCCGTGGTGTATGTTATTTGCCGACGATATAGTCTTAGTTGTGGAAACTTGTGATGCCCTTAATGTGAAATTAGAATTATGGAAGAGTACACTGGAGTCTCAAGGTTTTACATTAAGTAGATCTAAAACTGAATATAAAGATTGCAAGTTTAGTGATCACAAGGAAGTGGGTACTATTATGATTAAGTTGGATGGGGAAAGAGTAGCAAAGAGTAGCCAATTTCGATACTTGGAATCAATTATTCAGAATGATACTAAGAGAGAAGCAGATGTCAAACATAGGATTCAAGCAGGATGGGCGAGGTGGTGAAGTACATAAGGTGTGTTGCATGATCGCAACATGCCTTTAAAGTTAAAAGTGAAGTTGCATAAAACAATTGTAAGGCCTGCATTATTACTATATGGAACTGAGTGTTGGGCTATTAAGAAACAACATGAAAAGAAAATGAACATAGCAAAGATAAGGATGCTTAGATGGATGTGTGGTAAGACTAGAAGAGACAAAATCAGAAATGAAGAGATTCGAGAAAAATTAGGGGTAATCCAACTTGAAAAGAAGATGATACAGTGCTGTTTACGGTGGTTTGGATATGTAAAACATAGGCCTAGCTATGCACTGGTTAGGAGAATTGAGTCTCTAGATCTAGAAGAAATCAAAACATCCAGAGGTAGACCACAAAAGCTATAGATGCAAGTAATAAAAAACGATATGATGGTTAAGGAATTAGATGAAAATTTGGTTGTTGATAGAAATGAGTGGGGCAAAAGGATTCAAACTATAACCTAACTTGATTATCTTATTTGGTTTTTCATATAGTTGACCCTAGAATATGGAATATAAGGCTTAGTGTGTTGTTATTGTTGTTGTTGTTGTAGAGTGAAGATGAGGACCTTACTCAGCAATGAATAATGATTTTTAATGCGCCATCATTACAGTAAGGCTTAACAAAGTCAAGTTAATTTACATTCATAACTACTCGATGAAAGGATGTTGCAAGACTACTACTAAGCACATAAATCTACATCAGACTACTACTTAAGCATCAACATGTATACCTGAGGTATTATCAATCTTCGAGGGATAAGCTCCTCATGATGTCGTACACAAAACTCCCAAGAGCAAATCTAGATAGCAAGGACAAGATAAACAAAATTTCAACCAATTAGAAGTTCCAGAGATTATTAACTCCTTTAACACAGAGGATTTAGCATCTCCAAACCTTTAGATCTGGAGAGAAAACAAGATGAAGTTGACCATCCCGTACCACACGAAGATGCTCAAAAACACTCTCTTCTATTGCTTTAGCGTAGTCAAGAACAATTTGACCTTTAGCATTATGATATTCATGAGGCATATCAACATAAAGAAGCTCCTCCAAAGTACCACTGTCATATTTGATTTTAAATAGCCTGGGCAGAACCTCAACAGTTGTTCCTGAAAAGCAAAAATTTGATGTTTACATCAAATTCCATTTCAACAAAGGGGGAACGTTTTTTCGCAAGTTTTTTTTTTTTTTTTTGCAATTTGGGACATGAAATAATGAAACTTTTTCCCCATAGTCACAAGTCATATTCTTTGCTCTCACAGAAGAATGAAACTCTACTTCGATTTCAGCTGCTTAGCTTTTAAGGCACATCTTTGTTTCCTTCAGCATGAACCACTCACTCATTTCATTTGTAAATCAAACCACTCATTAAATAGTGATATATTTGTGCACCATGGAGGAAACTAAAATATAGCACATCCTATTATAATATTAATTTTCCTATTGGCACCGATTTCATAGAATCTAAAGGAAATAGACTTATTACCTTAAAATTACCAACCATCTTACCTTCAATAGTTTCACCATTCTACTCCTTCCTTTTTCTATTCCTAAAACTTTTTATCCAATGAAATAGAAAAGTTAAAGAAGCAATATAGCATTACCAATATTTGTTACATATATATAAGATTGTTTTATGGCAAGTGTAGATCAAGTAAAAAGAATTTATTAATCCACCTGAGAGTAAATGGATAGGGCAACGGCCCAGTGTCTATGATACTTAAGACTCTGAAAATAAGAGTAGATATTGAAGACCCAACTTATCCTATATTGTTGCTCTTAATGAATATCCAAATAGACAATCACTAAGGAAAGTAGCATGCACCACATCTTTTGATATCTTTTGGTAAAGTGTTTAAAATCTTTCTTTCTTTCATGCAAAGAAAGCCCAGGTATTGGTTAGAGCAGGCATCAAAAGTATCCATTATATGTTTCAAAGGATAGCATTCAGATACAAAATATTTATGCATAAGCAGGAGATTTGAGCTTTGCCATTAATTGTTTGTCAAAGGACAGTGAATCAAAAAAGATTGTATACAATATTGATGCAGAACTTGATAATCATATTAGTTAAGAAGCAGGACCATTTACATCAAACACAGAACACTTTCTTCACTTGATATGATAAGACATAGTCACCTCCGAACTTAACATGATATAGTCAGCTTCAAAAGCAGGAGTCTTTAAATTAATAAATCAATTTGAAGAGTGGAAAGAAATAACATACCAAAACCACGGCCAGGCTTGCGATTGCATAATTCACAGTGCCATATATCCTGCAAAAGCTGCAATTAAATTTCTAATATTTCCTCATAATGGCAGCAAAGCAAAATCATAAACTTTGTGAAGCATTCAAAAAAGTGGAAAGTATCATTTTAATTGGCCAAGACTCCAATGAGATATAAATAGATACTAGATAAGCAAAGAAGATCCTAGGATGCTCCCCTGCCAACCACAAAATACTACTAAAATTTTATACTCTTTGCTAATACCAAAGTTTTCCTTTCTACATTAGAAACTTGTTTTCTCCGAGCATACAAATCCGAATGTTAATATCTGTAGAGAAAATTTTTGTCAGATCCCAAAACCAACTACTACTATAGCTACTTTTGATAGCTGTCCAATTGAGACTACATAAAGTTTTTTTAAATCATACAACTTTTGCCCCACACCTACGTATCTGACAAGAGGAACAAAAATTCTTCATACTTATCCTTGAATGAGGCCAGGGCTATGATGGAAGCTACTAAACCTTATCTGACAGCGTATTTTTTTTTTTTCTTCCTTTTTTTTTCTTTTGTCTGACTGTTTTCGAAAATAGCATAAATGAAATGCAAAGGTGATTATCTGCTATAACTCATTATTGACATTTCGCACCTTTATCAAATATCAACAAACAGTGATCCTCCGAGACATCATTTAGCAAATTTAAAATTCCCGGAAGGGATTGCACCAGGGATACTCCATGACAACCACCACCCCTTTCTTTCTAAGGCACCAGCTTTTCCTCTCCCTACGGACAGTAAAGTGTAAGTCAATTAATTTCTTTAAACAACATACCTGAGGAAACACACCATTACTTTGCCGATTATTTCCATATAATGAAACACACCATGTTTTCTTTGCATTAGGAGCAAAAAATTCAGCAACAAATTTCTGCCAGAATTCAATATTGTTATCCTGAATCAAGAACAAGTGTTACCACCAAGCAAAACAGCAATCACTAGAAGAATGAATAATTCCTCAATTGAAATTATCTTACATCAGGTCTGCACTGTTGCTGATATATGTATTGGGTCAGACGCCGAGCACAAGTTCCTGGTTCATAAGCTGGTCTAACAGCAGATCGAACAGACAAGTGCTGCTGCTGAAACTGTGGCTGTAGTTGAGGTCTTTGCTGAGGAAGTGATTTCAACAGTTGTTGCTGATGTTGCATCTGCAAAATACGCTGTTGTTGCAAAAAGTTCATCCGTGCAACAGGTGCTTCAGAAGAGTGCCTGGTTAATTGAAGGAACTGCTGCTGCTGCTGCTGCAAAAGCATTGCTTGATCAGACTGTTGACGTTCCAATTTTACAGGTCCTATGCCTCTTCCAATTTGGTTCTGTTGAGGCTCTAGCTTCACTGGTCCAATATTTCGAAATGACTGCAACTGTTGCTGGGGACCAACCTGATCATTCATAGTCTGAGGCTCCAACTTGACAGCACCTGTGCCCCCTAACCCTCCTCGGATTGATTGAAATTGCTGCTGCTGCTGCGATTGACTGTGGGAAAGAGGGAATTGTTGCATCGACTGCTGACCATGCTGAAACTTTTGTGGCTCAAATTGTTGAACTTGAGATTGCTGTAGATCCAATAGTGCAGGGTTTCCAGCAGAGTTTGCAATTTGCTGATTCTGAAGTTGGCATGATGACCCAGAATTTGCAGCATCTGATGGTGCGAATGATGGAGGTACATTAAAACCAATCTCATTTGCCACAGCAGTGAGAGGATTAGACTCAGCTGTGGCATCAAAACCTCCCCGCTGGAAACCACTCACACCAGATAGGCCAGAGTTTGAACCCCCATTGCCAAAAGTCTGATTCAGGAGTGATGAAATGTTCGCTGTGCTTTCGAGTAAATTCATGCTATACTGAGCTCTTGGGGAGACAAGTGATGAAAATGTTCCTTGCTGAGGCATTGAACCTTGAGATCCCAAAATAGCAGAATTTGATCGCGTAAGTGCTGGCAAAACAGACTGAGCACCACCACTTGGTGGCCCAGGCAGCACCATCTCGAAATAAGACAGCAATATCTCAACAAATTCACCAAACTGAACTAATAGAGCTTGAATTCACCATACTCAGATATCCTATTGAGGCTCCCCAAGCACCTTGACAGAGAAAGGTCATAATTATATTCAACCAGGAAGCAAAATGCAGGCCACATTTAGAACTCAACACTCCAGCTTGTCAGCATTTCAGAACGGAAGTGACAACTGTTTCGTTCTGACCACTAAAACCTGAATCATAAATAGTAACAGAGAAGAATAACAAGGTTAATACCAAGCAAGAAATAAGGTCATGACTCATGAGCATTACAAAAATTTCAACACTTGTTCACAAATAAGAATCTTCAGTGACAAGCTGAGACCGTTTAGTGAAAATTCTATTTGATCCATAAAACACAAAGCCAAAACCAACCATCCAAAAAGTCGTCTCTTCTTGGCACAAATATTTCCAAATATGGTTTAAGCTAATGCAAGTATAAAAAAAAATGATAGTGACATATATTAAGTGAAAATCTAGGATTACCAAAAATAAAAAGCAAATTTAAATGATTCCATCTCCCAAATTCAAAAAACAAAAGAAATGAAGTTTTCATCTATTTGGTTGCAAAGAAAATGTAGGAAAAATAAAGAAAATACATGAATTTAAGGCTAAAATTACAACCCAAGTCTGCTAAATTTGAACCCTTTATCTCATTCAAGACCCGGCTACAAACCGCCACAAAAATCAACAACAAAAAACAAAATAAAAAACAATGAAGACCACAATATTAAACACACACAAAAAATAATAATAATAACTCACGAAGGAAATGGAAATCCAAAGACCAGACAGATAGAACAAAAGCATGAAAAAAAAGTTATAAGTATTCCTCATTATCCCGAACAAAGAAAGAAAAAGAGAGAGAACTTACAGTGTGAAGTGGCAATGTTGAAAATTGTTGAGAGAAGAAATTTTTTATCTTTCCCTAAAAAAACCCAAAAAATACCAAACACAGCTCTAAACAAAGCCGAATATAATATTAAAACATTTTTGTTCTAAAAAGTAACGATTTTATGATTTTGTCTTAAAGCTTTTTTCCCATTGGATTTAATTAGAATTAGAATGCGATAATATAATAGTAAATAAACATTAATTTATATGACCGTACAATCTTTTTTGTTTTCATTTTTGCGTAAAGATTGCAGTCTCTGCTCTTTCTATATTTTTTTTTCCTTTTCTTCTCTCCGTTTTGTTTAGAAAGAGAAGAGCAGAGACCTGCCGAGAGAGAAAGAATTGAGTGTACATGCGTGTTCTTGCGGACGTCAAAATTCATTTGAATTGGATTCAATATTTTTATGTTTTTCTTTTTTTTTTTTTCTGTTATACTATTTTTAGGTGTCTCTCTATTACTAATAATATAAAGTCAAAACTTTTTCTTTTTATTTTATGGAAGTTAACTTGTACTCGGGGTCAACGCAGAACTTGTACTTGCTGGCAAAAGCACAATATCCATGCATGCCACACATCATCATAACCAATGATGATGATGTTGCTTTTAATCTCATGCACTTTTTTTTAGCACATCTTCACCAACACAACTTTTTATATTTTTTTTACGTACACACACATACGTGGGAGGGATTTATTTACCAAAAATATTTTATTTATAATGATTATAATATAATTAATTAATTATAATTTTATTAATTTAAAATTATATAAGATTCATTAAAATTTTATGTGAATTCTACATTTATAAGTGATGAATTTTTTATATTTTTATTATGATTGAATAATTATAATATTATAAAAAAAATTATAAATGGTATACTCTCTTATTTACACCAATGTAAAATTAATTTAATTTAATATTTTTATATGATTTATATTTTATTAATATAACAATTGAATTTGATACTTCGTTAATATAGATAATGCACATCAAATTTGAAATTAAAAATAGTTTTTTTATAAAATTCTATATTTTATCACAAATTAATGAATTAAATAGGATTAATGCAAACTCATGGGTGGATGTAAGTGTTAAAGTGAGGTGTCTTGAAAAATAAAAAACTAAAGATCCATTTTTTTTTGGAACATCGTCAAAATTTTATTTTTAAACATCTCCCAAAATTATCATTTAGACATTCCAAAAATTTTTCCTCATAATATATTTTCTTAATTCATTAACCATTTTTTTTATTGTCATTGCCCAATACCCAATTACAATCCACGACCAGCTAATTAAAAACTAACAACCTATTAAATTTTAATCTAAATCATAAAAATATCAAATATTTGTTTCTCACTAATCATTTACTTTTTCCTTCTAAATTTTCACCTAAACAAAAATAAAATATTTAAAAAATAAATAAAACCCAATTTTATTTTATACCATCTAGTTATCTTTCTCATTTAATTATTTGCCTCATCAATTTTCAATTCTCCTAAAAACCAAATGTTTAATTCCCAATTCTTATAAAATTCCTACCAACATCTTCACTCTTCACTCTTCATTCTGATCACTCTCCCTACTCTTATCTTTGGTGATGGTCTATTTTGACTCTTTCACTTTCTACCTTCAACCCATCTGTTAGGGATGTTTTTAGGTTTAAAAGGGTATTTTGGTCATATTTTCTCATTCGAGACTACCAACAGACAATCAGGAACATTTTATACTTTTAAGCTAACCTAACATGTTAAACTGACTTGAGGTCACAGTACTACATCAATTCAGTCACCTTACCAATCTACCTAATGGGTCTCCTCAATGCTGACTTATCATCCTCTGAGTGGATAGTCAACATCTAGGTCAACTCAAGACTCTAGATCATTCCTAACCAATAGGTTAACCTGGAGCAGCTTAGGCTACCTGAAACCCTTTACCTTTTAGCTATAAATAAGGTCATTAAGGTACCATCTACACATCTTACATTCTTCCACCTTCTTTATTCTCCTTCCTATTTTTCTCTTTTGGCAATCTCTAATTTGAATGTAGAGTACAAATGCTGAGGATACCTCTAGCCTTTGTTCTTAATCGTTCTCTTTCTCTTTCCATTGTAATTTTAGGGTTTTACCCATCCAGCTCAGTTTGGCACAAACATTTGGCATGCCAAGTAATGGTATTTATTTCTTTAACCAAGCTAAAACACCATGTCATCAAGAAAAAGAGTTACCGAATGAAAAGAACTAGCTACCACAGCTAGAACCAAAACCCAAATTAACCAACGCATAGATCAACCTGTATTGGCAAGCCCTACAATGGAGCAATTTTTTTTCTCAATCAACAATTGCAATCCTTGAGAGAAATGATCCAAAGTCTCACCCATCCACAAACGTCTAAAGCCCCTAACCCAAATACCCCAAAAAACTTCCATGTAAAGAAATTACTAAGCTACGATGACACCAAAGCCTTATCGGCTTCAAAAGAAAAAGAGTAATATATCACCCCAGTCAACCATAACCACACAAATACTTCTACACAAGTCATTACCCAAAAGTTTAAACAAACCATCCCTGAGCTTTAATCGAACAAAGACTTCGAAACTCAAATGCAGGTTATGAAAAAAAAGTTGAAAAGAAAGGTCATTGCATTTGAGGATGAACTAAAATTCTTAGAAATCTCACCTTTTATCGAAGAAATTGACAGGACCATGTTGCCAAAAAGGTTCAAAATGCCAACCTTGGAGACATATAACGGTACAATCAACCTTTTTTATCATTTAAAGCTTTACCAAAGTAAATGATGTTGCAAGGGGCAGATGAAGCTTTAATGTACAAAGGTCTAGCCACCACATTCAAAAAAGCAACTCGGTCTACTATAGTACTATGAAACCGAGGTCTATTACAACATTTAAGAAGTTTAGTCATTCCTTCTTATCCCACTTCATTAGTTGTAGAAAAACCAAAAAAAAAAAATTACGCTGAAATTAATGTCTATCCACCAGGGCAAAAATAAGTCTTTAAAAGACTACGTCACATATTTTAATGCAAAAACCCTTCAAGTAAAAGATATAGAGCAAACTGCTACAATTGTTGCCCTGACCAATGGATTCAATGATAGAGAATACCACTTAAAATTCATCATTTTTCTAGAATCACTAAAGATATTTATCGATGTGCTACTTATTGTAAAAAATATATCAACGTTAAAGCTACGATGAAAAATAGTCTAAGTGAGCAAGGTTCATCCTCCCTTTTTGACGATCCAGATATGAAAAGTTCATCTCCCCTCCTCGATTAGAATAAACAAAAAAAATCTACGATCATTCTCTAAGAGAAAGAAAATAAAGGTACCCTAAGACCAAGAGCCTAAGCAAACAGAAAGATTACACTGCACTGAATACCTTAAAAAAAAGATTCTAATGCACAAATTAAAAGGGATCTAACCTCAAATGGTCAAAATCACTAAGACAGAACACTGAGAAAACCTTACAAAAAGATCTGCTTTCCATAAAAATATCGACCACAACATAAAAAATTGCATTGACTTAAAAAATAAAATAAACAATTTGATTAAAACAAGTAGGTTAGACAGATTTATGGATTGAGCTACACAAAGTTAAAGATGACCAGATTTCAAAAGGGAAAATCGAAGAAAAGGGGCAAGAAGAAACCAAAGGGCTGGAGAAGAAGGAAGCTGAGGTGGTGAAAACTAGAGGAATGAGCAAAAGGAAAATTAAGGTCAACTTGTAGACAACAAGCCCATTGCGGGCATCATCAATGTAATAACTAAGGGAACTCCACCTTGACCAAAAGAAAATTTAATCAAGGGATGGTTATGGCCATAAGATCCTTAACCAAGAAAAAAAAGAATTAGAAAGATGAGTTAATCTCTTTCACCTAAAAAAACAAGGAAATTATCAAATTCTCACATGATGATACCATCATAATCACCGTGTTTATGTATAATTATATGATGAAGAGTTAAGTGAACACTTCTAAAAAAAATCTTAAATTTATCACTGTGCATACTTTTTTTTATAAAATAAAATTTTAATAATTAAATATATTATAAAATAAAATAGTCTCAATTGATAGGATATAAATCTTGAATTGATTTAAAAATTTACATACATGATAAATATAAAATTATTACTAATCTAATAGTTGGTTTCTTAAAGTATTATTCATACAAAAAATTATAAAAAGATGTAAAATTTATTAATTTTTATATATGTATATATATGGTGAAGGAATTAAAATATATCGTAGAGCATAACCAGCACAGTATCCAATAAGAGCAATGAGAGTTCATTGCTTGTTGGCCACCAGGACTTTAAATATTATCTCGTTAAAAAAATCTTCCTAATAAGACAAACCATTAAGAATATTTCACACGCTACCAAACCATCAACAAGACAAATCTGGGTTCACCTAATCCAGCCAGTAAAACCCCAAAAGGAGATTACCTCCTTATTGATCCCTAAATAAAAGCACCACCCAAGTCAGTAAGTCTTATCATTTTTCTTCCATTCAAGCCAAGGTTTTGCATCCATCCCACCAACACCAACAATTTTTAACACTCGATTAGCAATTATCGAAATATGCAAACCCAATCAACACCCAAATACCATTTAAGCCAATCCAATTTCCTGTTAGACCTCCTCTACATCCAGTAGCTTTTAATCCCCCAAATTTTATTAAGCCAAGACTTTAACCACAAAATAATCA